CTAGAACATGCCCTTGAGCATTACTCGGCCAAACACAGCTGCCGATCTGTGCCGGCAACATCCCGTGGTGATTAATTAACCCGGGGTTTTCAGCAGTGAATTTGGGTGAGGGGCAGGACATTTTGACACAGTTTGTTCAATGACCAGGGAAAAGAGACCCTTGACAAGACAATGCCACCCCACCCCACTTCAGCCACAAGTACTGCGCCTGGTAGAAGGTCAGTCTACACCAAGGTGGTCCAACGTTTTTGGCTGCTGAGGGCCAGATGCCATATTTTCTCCTGGTTGTTTTAAGAAATATTTTATCCTGATCGGCCAGTCCCGTTGCTGGGTGGAGCCTGAGCTCCAGGTGACCGCCTCTGATTAGCTCGGGGTCTGCATGTCACCCAGATTTGCTCATCAGACAACGAAGTTGGAATTGGTTCGCGGTTCGGATGAAATCATCCCCCCGGGCAAGATGCGGCCCACGGGCCACCAGTTGGACCACCCCTGGCCTAGATTATGAGTTCTACTCCCATCCAGAGGACTTGAACCCACAAGTTACTGACCCAGAGGTAAAATGGCTGCCAACTCAGCCAGACATCACATAGACCTGAGCAGATGATGGGTTGAGGAGTGTTAGAGTCAGGCGATGGGATATTAAGTGACACTAGACAGTACAGATAACCACAGTCCTCGATTCCCATGGAGCCTGGCTGGAATTTATTCACATCAAACCTCACTGCCTGGGAATCATCCACCAAGGAGGATTTTGAAAAATTAATTTCGACCCCAGGGGAAAGGGGAGGGAGAGAAAGATGCTTATTTCAGGCAGATTCCCTTCATATAGTAATAATAATCCTTGCATTTCATATAGCGCCTTGTCACGTCTTCGAGACGCTTCAAATTGCTTCACAGAATACACTGTAAAGTGAATTGACTGCATATTTTGTGAGCAAAATGCAGGAAGCAATTGCACACAGCACTGTCCCACAAAGAGTTGTGGATTCAGTGACCAAATTATTATTATTTTTTTTTCAAGGGATCATTACCCCCGGAAAAGCAATCCGCCAATCAATTAATAACCGGTTTCCTACTTACTGCTCCGTAAACAGAGACGTGTGCAATAAGGAAACTTGTCTAAGGTTTCGCCCTGCGCAGGAATCAAACCCAGGACCTCTCGCTTGCGAGGCAAATGCTCTAACCACTGAGCTATAGGGCTCCACAGTTAAAGCATAAAACAGTGATCAGGCAAAAGATGTCCCAGTAAGTGGATATTGTTAATATTGTTTTTCCATTCTGCTGGAAACTCAACTCATCTGCACTCCACCCTTCAGCTCGCTGGGGACAGTGGAAGTAACAGACAGACAAAAGAGGCTGGCACGCCTTGAAAGAAAGTTGCCACGAGAGGAAAGTTTGGACTTAAATGAAGTTCTGCTATTTATATCGCTGCCGTATCAGTGCAGGAAGGAGCCTATTTTGCAGCCCATTGTCCAAAAGAAAGGGCCAAGCAGGCAAAATAAACAACACTGTTCCGACTGTTCCGATCTCTGTCGGCTTGTTTAACTCCAGGCCTCCTCACGCCCCCACCCCATGCCCTCTCCAACCTCCACCATCCCCCCCGCTCCCACAGTTAATCTACTCCTTCACATGGAAAGTTTCATCCACAAAATATACAGTCAATCCACTTTAGCGCATAACCTGTGAAGCGCTTTGAGACGTCTCAATGGTGTGACAAAGTGCTGTATCAAACACAAGGATTGTTATTACTAAATCATGGGTTTGAGGACTTGAGGATTCAAGCCCCACATCTGGCCTTGTACACGCAGGTTTATGCTGATGCACTAACGCAGTGCTGGGTGATACTAGTTGGCCAAACAACGGGAAAGCTTGCCAGACAGCGCACTCAATGGCAAACTGTGCAGTTTTAGCTGGTTGGACTCCAGTAGTTACCCCAACGTACACTCTCTGATCCCCAAGCCTTGACTCTTGCCAACCTGCGCCTAATACTTTCCGGAATTAGGTAAGCAGGGTGTGTTGCTCCAGGGAGAGAGTGCGCATTCCGTTCCAGATGTGTAAATTTCCATGTGTAGGTGGCATGTAAGACAACATGCAACTGAATACTCAATAACAGCTTACAGTTATTTTGATAGAGCCTTATCAAGTCATTGAGCCGCCTCAAAGCGCTTCACAGGACATATAGTAAAGTGGAGTTATTGTGTTTTTTGTGGACAAAACGCAGCAGAAGCCAATTACGCACAACAGTGCCCCACAAACAGTCGTAGATTGAGTGACGACATTTTTTTTCAAGGGATTACTACCCCCGGAAAGAGATCCCCCAGTTGACTATCAACCGGGTTCCTACTTACTGCTAGGTAAAAAGAGGCGTGTGGAGTAAGAAAACTTGCCTATGGTTTTGCCCTGCCCGGGAATCAAACCCAGGTCCTCTCGCTTGCGAGGAGAGGGGACTAAAATGAACTCAGCTTTCACTCTGCCTGACTCGTTTGATCAATGATAAATAACAGCCTGGCTCCTCCCCACACTGATCCCTGCTTGCAAGAAAGTGTTTCCTCGGCTGCTCTGTGTCAGTTGGGAACCACTTCCCAAAGGCCAGCTCCCCAGCACCCACCCTCCGACCCCCCACACCTGCCTTCTCCTCCTCCCTAGATGCTCTTCTTCCATGAGCAAACCCCAGCTATAACAACAGCCACAGGAACTGCAGCCAAAACACATCTACACAGATACCCTTCAGTTATTTAAGCAATAATCGCAGAAGTGAGCTCCCATGTCAGTGCTGACTGGCTCACACTCCCACCCACCCCCCACCTGTACACACACCCACCCCCCCAACCTGTACACACTCCCAGCCCCCCACCTGTACACACACCCAGCACCCCACCTGTACACACTCCCCTCTGCTTGTCAGAGGAGAGGATGTTCAGGCAGAAGGCAAAACCTTAGGCAAGTTTCTTTACTCCACACGCCTCTGTTTACTTAGCAGTAAGTAGGAACCCGGCAGTTAGTCATTTGGCAGTTCACTTTCAGGGGGTAATCCTCAAAATAAATTTGGTCACTCAATGCACAACGGTTTGTGGGACACTGCTCTGCGCAATTGGTTGCCGCGTTTCGCCCACGAAATACAGAGTTAATTCACTTTACAATATAGTCTGTATAGTGCTTTGAGACGTCTCAACAATGTGATAACAACCACAACAACAACCACAACAAAATTACATTTGTACAGCGTCTTTCATGTTGGGAGGACGTCCCAAGGCGTTGGACAATCAGTGTTTCGGATCCGAGCTGGGGGTCGGGATCGGGGAGGGTGGAGGGCAGGGGGGAAGCAGAGTGATCGAAAGCACGGTCGAAGAGGAGAGTCTTGAGATGCGTCTTGAATGTGGCGAGGGAGGGGGCGAGGTGAGACTGCGAGCTGGAGTTCCAGAGGGTGGGGGCAGAGTGGCAGAAGTCCCACCCGCCAATGGTTGGGCAAGCGAGGCGAGGGACAGGCTGGAGCCCGCTGAGCGGAGGGAGCGTGTAGGTTGGTAGGGGGTTAAGAAGTCGCAGGGGTAGGCGGGAGCAAAGCCATGGAGGGCTTTGAAAGTGAGGACCAGGATCTTGAACTGTATCTTCTATGTGATGGGAAGCCAGTGGATTCAGGCAAGGATGGGGGTGAGAGGGTCACGGAGCCTGGTGCAGGAGAGGACACGGGCTGCAGACAAGGACAGGTAATAATGCACTGCATTAAATGCCAGGATTATTATTATTATCGGATTATATTGCAGGTTGCACTCGGCCTGCAGACCCTCCGCTCCCCTGGATACACTTGATTGAAAATATCGTGTTGAGTGAAGATGGACTTGGCGAAGGGAAGGTGGTCGCACTGTCCTCCTGCACTGCTGTGTTCCGACCTGTCTGCTGAGCTTGGCCACACTGAGCTCTGGCTATCGGACCAGCCCTGACCTCCATGTGCAAACAGTGGAAGTTCCTGCTCTGGAACCCTGGACCAGATGTGGAGGTGACAGAGCTGGTCAACAGCGTCACCTGGTGGCCGTCAGGAGAAGACTACACCTACACGGTGTAAACTATACCTTGTACAATTCAGGCCGATGAAAAAAAAAGGTTTGGAACATCTTCTCTCTGACAGCAAAGCTGGCAACGTGTTAAACCACTGTTTATTAAGTACTCACCAAGAAATGAAATAGTTGAGTGCGTTGTGGTTCAGTGATTTAATGATCACCTTTTTACAATCACACCGGCTATTCCTGTGTCTCATTCCATCTCTCTCGACATTTATATACAGTGAAATCTGATCTGTACAAATCGCACAATCGCCAAAGTCGTACACCTGCCCGAGTCCTGTTCACGTGTTTATATTCTGTACAAATTTGACATCGTTCATGTTTTGCATGAGTCATTGCCTCAAAAATAAAAATAATTGGTCACTCAATCCACGACTGTTTCTGGGGACGCTGCTGTGCGCTATTGGCAGTCGCGTTTCGAGGCGTCTAGAAGATGCGATAAGGCGTTAGATCAAATGGGAGGATGATTATTATTATTATTAAGTCACATTAAATGTTTGGTCCCAACTGATACGACTTACGTGAGGTTTACTGTCTCGCCTTTCCCACGGGATAGTGCCTCAGAGCTCTCTGTATCACTCTCTCACCGTATAAATGCAATCTGTTGTCGTTGTTGTTGGATGTTCATCCTATTAAGAGTTAAAGAATCCTATTTGACGGAGCTTGCCAGTTGATAAATGACAATAACAACCCTTGTATTTGGTAATAGCGCCTCCTCAAAGGATATACTGTAGAGTGACTTGACTGTGTATTTTGTGGGTGAAACGTGTCTGCTGCTTCCCTTGGGGAGCTGGCGGTGTGGGTCACTAGGGATTGCTGAGGCCTGAGGGGTTGGGCACCAAATGAGACTGTCAGTTCATAGCCAGTAGGAGGTGACTTACCTCTCTCTCTCTCTCATTCCCTCGCTCCTCACCTGCTCGTCCCGGCTCACACTTCCTCTTGGCTTGTTGCCATGGTTTCACTTGGTGTTCGCTCCCGAGCAAAGGTTGGGAATCTGGAGCTGGCACTTTCCCTCCTCGGTGGGACGGCGTCAGTCAGGAGCACCTCAGCATTCCCGGGATTCCCAACCACCTGAAAGGTAACAAGAGGGGTGAACTCTCTCTCTCTCTCTCTCTCTCTCCCCACTCCCCCACCTTCCCCTCAGCTCTGCACTCGAGTTAACATCACTGCTTAGTGTGAAAACCTGTGGCACAAAATCCTGCCCCGCCACCCTCTCTCTGCTAAACTCAGCTACTTAGTGGGTTCTTACTGAGGTCTGAGGCCTCTGCTCATGGTGTCAGCCTGGCTCAGATGATAGTCCTCTCACCTCTGAGTCAGAAGGTTGTGGGTTCAAGCCCCTTGACTGGACTCACATAGTCCAGGCTGGCACTCCAGTGCAGTCCTGGGGGGGAGTGTTGCATTGCTGGGGTTGTCGTTCGGATATACGTTAAAGATCTCACGACATTGTAAAAAAGAGAAGGGAGTTTCTCTCTCTCTCTCTCTCTCCCGATGTTCTGACCATCAATCCCCCTGGTAAAATTGGTCACTCGCTTCACGGCTGTTTGTGGGATCGCTGCTGCGCGCAAATTGGGTCAAGCAGAGGACTAGCAGCGGAGAGCGGAGGCACAGAGCAGTGGGAACAGGGAGCAAAAGGAAATCACCCATTTCAGCAATTCCAATGCCTGTCATTGAGAATTCTAACGAGGAGTCCAATGTTATTAGTGCACTCGCCTCGCAAGCGAGAGGACCCTGGTTCGATCCCCGGGCAAAACCTTAGCCAGGTTTCCTTACCCCACACGCTATAAGGCGCTATATCAAAGGCAAGGACTGTTATTATTATTAAAGTGCACTTGCCCAAGCTGTGTAAAGCAGACTGGGCTCCCAGCGTGTGATGGGAATTGGAGAGGAATCCTATGGGGACCGGGGGTTACAACTTGGGTTAAAGGAGGTGCTGACGGCAGCAGATCAGCTGGAAAGTTTGTGCATTGGTTTCCCATTGCTGACTCTCACCTCAGCAAGTTTGCACTGTCCAGTTTGACACTCCAGGGGGAGGGGTGTGTTGTGAGAATTGCCGTATTACGGATGTGGCTGTTTGTGGGGCACTGCTGTGTTCAAATTAGCTGCCGTGTTCAAACCCACTTTACGGTAAATTCTTTGAAGCACTTTTGGACTTCGATTTGCACTGGGAATTCCAACGGGTTTTCTAATTAAGAAACGGTGTAAAGAACAACAACAACTTACATTTGTAAGGCGCCTTTCATGTCAGGAGGACGTCCCTCAAGTTAGAACTACCGCAAATATTGATCGCATCATTAAATGCACAGTCAATCCATTTTGCAGTTTATCCTGGGAAACATTTTGAGAAGTCTCAATGATAAAGCGCTATATCAAATGCAAGGAATATTATATTATCTGTTCTGCCAGGTGTTAGCCTGAGATGTCTCCTGTCTCGCTCTCTTTCAGTTACAATGCAGTTGCTGACAATGCTGTGCCTTGTGGCCTGTCAGCTGGCTCCAGTGTTCACTCAAGAGGCTCTGACTGATTCAGAGTCTGAAGGAGATATTGAAGTGAGTCCATCTGCTGAGGTCCTGTGTGTGTCTGTGCGTGTGTATGTGTGTACCCTTTGGAATTCCATCCCACAGTATCTCTGCCTCACCCCATCCCTTGCCTCCTTCAAGACCCATCTCAAGACCCTCCTCTTCAACTGTGCCTTCGATCACCCTCCTTCTCCCCCCAGCCCTCCACCCTCCCCTATCCTGACCCCCAGCTCAGGTCCAAAACACTGATTGTCCAGCGCCTTGGGACATCCTCCCCACGTGAAAGGTGCTATTCATATGTAATTTTGTTGTTGTTGTGTGTGTGGCTGCGTATGTGTTTCTCTCTCTCAATCTAGTTGGAAGCACTTTTGCCCCTGAGCCAGAAGGTTGTGGGTTCAAGCTCCACATCGGGACTTTGAACTCATACAGACTAGGCTGAAACTCCAGTGCAGAGCTGGGGGGGTGGAGGTGGCTGCGTTGTGGGAGGTACCATCCTTCAAATAAGACATTAAACCAGGGGTATTAAAGCAGTCAAGCCCAGGCAGTGTTTCCTCAGTGACCACTGCGTGAGGTCCCATTTACCCAAGGTCAAGATCCAAGATAATGTGCAGAAGAAACGAAGCAAAGAAGTCAAGCAGAGGTCAGGCAGTCGAAGATCCCACGGGACCATTTGACAAGGGAAGGGAGTTTCGCCAAGTGTCCTGGCTAACGAACCCATAGATCAGATTGATCATTCAGTCCCTGGCTGTTTGAGGGAACATTGCTGTGCACAAATTGGATAATATGTTCGCCTATAAAACACACAGTAAAATCCTGTGAACCATTATTAGACATCTCAAGGCGTTACATCAAATGCAAGGATTATTATTACTATAGCAAATTAGCCCCAGTGTGTTGCCAATATATATTCCCAGGCGGTGCAAAACATTAGGTACGTTTCTTATTCCACACTCACATCTGTTTACCTAGCAGTAAGTAGGAAACTGGCTGTTAGTCGATTGGTGGATCGCTTTTCTGGGGGTAATAAACCCTTAAAAAAATAATAATAATAATTTGGCCACTCAATCCACAACTGTTTGTGGGACACTGCTCTGCGCAATTGACTACCGTGTTTCTCCCACAAAATATACAGTCAATTCACTTTACAGTGTATCCTGTGAAGTGCTTTGAGGCGTCTCAAAGATGAGGTAAGATGCTATATCAAATGCAAGGATTATTATTATTTTTATAAGGACACACAGCCTGTATTTTGGCTTCACTGTGGTTACACAGTGTGGTGAGGTGTGTGCTGTTGCAGTCAGACAGTGTGATTGTTTGTTGCAGACTGTTTACCAGCCCCCGAGAGCTGCCGGGCCTGTGCACTTTACAGCTTCCTTCGACGTCGACGGTTTGGAAAGGTAAGTGTCCCCCACGTGTCACATTACTGTATCTGTGTGAGATCAACTCCACACGCCTCTATTTATCTAGCAGTACGTAGGAACCCGGGTGTTAGTTGATTGGCGGATTGCCTTTCCAGAGACATTAATCCCACCTCCCCCCAAAAATGTGATCACTCGATCCATGACTGTTTGTGGGACGCTGTTGTGCACAATTGGCTGCTGCGTTTCGCCCACAAAATACAGTCAATCCACTTCATTGTATATATACTGTGAAGCACTTTGAGACTTTGGAAGGGTTATTATTATTATTATCAATGAAATCACTGTGTCTGTGGGAGATTTCTATATCTGTATGGTATTGCTGTGTCTGTGCCTGAAGCTGATTCTCTCTCCACAGCTGGGTAAAGTCTAATGTAAAAAAGGAAGACACTGAGGAAGATGTCAACAAATACGATGGTACGAATACAACCCTCTGCAGCCAAACCACTGCACCCCCACCCCCACAAACATCCCCTCACACAACCCGACCCATGAGAACTCCTCTCTCAATTCATTGAGCCAAGGCATTGTTTCCTCTAAGATATCATTGCGTACGAACGTGTTGTTGGGACCTGGAATGCGTTGCTTGAAAGGTAGTGGACGCCGATTCGGTAACAACTTTCAAGAGAGAAGTGGATAGATATTCGGGGAGGATAAGTTTGCAGGGCTCTGGGGAGAGAGTGGGGGAGTGGGATTAATTTGGACAGTTCTTTCAAGAGCCGCCATGGGCACGATAGGCTGAATGGCCTTCTTCTGTGCTGTATAATTCTATGATTCTACCTCTGTGACCTGCTAACCCTATAGCTACCTGTTCCCTTCCCTCCGCTTAGCAGGGTCCGGCTTTCTACATGTCTCTCGGGCATGAACTCCATCCCACATTCCCTTTGCCTCCCTTGCCTCCTTCAAGGCATGTCTCAAGACCCTCCACCTCTACTGTGCCTTCGCCCACCCTCCTACCCTCCCTGCCCTCCTCCACCCTCCCTAAACCCAACCTCCCCCGCCCCCCACCCTCCCACCTCCAGGTCCAAACCCCTGATTGTCCAGCACCTTGGGATGTCCTCCTGACATGAAAGACGCTATACAAATGTAATCTTGTATTGTATTGTACCCTGGCTGTCATGAGCTGTGACCAAACATCTCCTTCCTGCAGGAACGTGGGATGTGGAAGAACCTCGTGACAGGGCAGTCCCCGGGAACAAGGGGCTGGTGCTCAAATCCCGTGCCCAACACTACGCCATCTCTGCCCCGTTGTTCCGACCCTTCCTCTTCGAGGCCTTGCCCCTCATCCTGCAGTAAGTATCTCCTTTCACGTCGGGTGGACTTCCCAAGGTGCTGGACAGTCAGGGTTATCCAGTGAAGCGCACTGAGGCATCTCGACGAAGTAATAAGGCTCTAAATCAAATGCAAAGATTATTATTATTATCTGCAACGCCACACCCAAACCAGTGTGGCATTACCGTGCTTGTAGTACCTGACGTCGCCCACAAGGTGACACTGGGTATTTTTCTGAGCAATGCTGTGCTGATGTATGATTGATTGTTCTGGGCAGTTGACCCCTTTGCAGGACATGCAACGTTTGAGGAGATCCTGTGCATGTTTCTGCTTTAAAGTTTACTTGAATAGTGTTCCCACAAGCTTCCCCCCACCCGACACACCCAGAGGGGAGGGCGATAAAAGCATGAGGCTGAACAAGGGAGAACTAGGCTCAAATCCTGGGCACTGCTTCAGCTGATCTGAGCCAGGGCTGGAGTTAGCCTCAATAGGCAAAATATAGCAGAACCTGGTAATCTGATCGAAAAACAGAAGTGGCTAACACTCAGCAGGTCAGGCAGCATCTATGGAGAGAGTTTCAGGTCGATGACCTTTCGACAGAACTCACCTCGTTGTTCCTGGGCTGGGGAGGGGAAGATCAGCCGAGATTCCCACTCCTGATCGCCTGCTGCAGACGCTGTGCTGGGAAGTGCTTGGGCGAGGATACAATGGTGTTCACCTGTGACACTCTCCCCACCTCCCCCCCACTGTTGAATACCTTGTACTAGAGGGATCTCAGGTAAGAGAGAAACAAAGTAGATGTCACCAGATCAGGATCAGTTCAACACACCATGAATATCACTGTTACTGATGTTGTCATTGTTACTGTAGAATCATAGAATTATACAGGACAGAAGGAGGCCATTTGGCCCATCATGTCTGTGTCGACTCCAAATCTATCCCACTCCCCCGCTTTCTCCCCATAATTATCTACATCTCTCTTAAAAATTGTTATCGCTATCACTGATAAAAACAACTTGCATTTCTATATAGCACCCCTCACTCAGGGTAGTGTCCCAGAGCACTTGACGCTGAGCCGGGAGCTGACCCCAGACACGGTCGAACAGGAAGGTCTTCAGGCTCAACCCAAAGACAGGGAGTGGGGCAGGCAAGACGGAAGGATTGAGAAAGAGCGATAATAATTAATAATACTATCATTAACGCTGGCACTGTTGTTGTTACTGTCATTGTCAGGAAAAAATCTGAATAAATCCCCCTCACACCCCCAGATCTTATAACACTCTTATAACCCACGCTCTCCTGCAGGTATGAGGTCCATTTCCAGGACGGCAGTGAGTGTGGGGGAGCTTACCTGAAGCTGCTCTCTGAGGACAACCAGCTGGACCTGGTAAGTACATCTGTCGTGTAGTGTTGTGTACAGTGTTGTGGGCGATGTTGTGGACAGTGTTGGAGACAGTGTTGAGAGGTCCGCGGTAATTTCCCCCGTGGCTCACTCTCAGACTGACAATGGCTACTGAGAACAGTCAACTTTAGATTGTATTGATTAATGAGTACAGTTATTCTCAGACTGCGTCAATGTTCTCAGGGAATGGGGGGTAGGGGGAGTGGGGTGAATGCTCTTTGAGAGAGAGGAATAAGAGAACGAGCCTGAGTGTGTCCAGCACATCTCCTGATCTCTGTGACAATCTGAATTGCCATTTCCCATTCCCGCTTTCCCCCGTTATTGCGATTATTCCCATTTTTCTCTCTTTCCAGAGACAATTCTTTGACAAGACGCCGTTCACCATCATGTTTGGGCCGGACATGTGCGGAAAGGACTATACACTTCACTTCATCATTCGACACAAAAACCCGGTGACGGGGGGGTATGAGGAGAAGCGAGCGAGGCAGCCAGACATCGATCTCCAGGATTACTTTACAGACAAAAGACCTCACCTCTACACACTGAGTAATACATCCCTTCAGCCCCTTCTCACACAATCACATCAGTTTATCAAAACTAAACCTAATTGGGTCACTCAACCCACCACTGTTTGTGGGACGCTGCTGTGCACAATTAGCTGCCGCGTTTCACCCACAAAATATACAGTCACTACACTTTACAGTATGTTCTATGAAGCGCTTTGAGATGTTCTCGAAGACCCGATAAGGCGCTATATCAAATACAAAGATTATTATTATTATTACCAGGAAAATAAACCTTTGTAAAACCTGTTAGAAACATCGCGTTTTAGCCCCCGCGGTCACTGCACTTCACAGTATCCCGTGAAGCGCTTTGACGTGAAAGGTGCAGTAAGAAATATAAAGGTTATTATATTAACAAACTGGTTCTCACCTCCTGTTTCTCTCGCTCTCTCCAAACGGAAATCGGTCCAGTTGTGAGACCCGACAACACTTACGAGATGCTGATTGATGAGACCTCGGTGAGCAGAGGGAACCTCCTCCAGGACATGACGCCTCCTATCAATCCCCCCAGAGAGATTGAAGACCCTGATCATCACCAGCCCAAGGACTGGGATGACAGACGTCTAATCCCCGATCCACAGGCAGTGAAGCCCCCAGACTGGTGCGTCCGGCCAAGAGTTATTATAATAATAATCCTTGCATTTGATATAGTGCCTCATCATGTTGTTGAGACTTCTCAAAGCGCTTCACAGAATATACTGTGAAGTGTAGTGACTGTGTATTTTGTGGGCGAAATACAGCAGCCAATTGTGCATAGCAGTGTCTCATAAACAGTCCTGGATTGAGTGGCCAAATTATTATTTTTTGAAGGGATTATTACCCCCGGAAAGCGATCCACCAGTCGACAGGTTTCAACTTACCACTAGATAAACAGAGGTGTGTGGAGTAAGGAAACTTGCCGAGAGTTCTGCCCTGCCCGGGGATCGAACCTGGGTCCTCTCGGTTGCGAGGCAAGACCTCTAACTGCTACACTACGGGACTCTGTGTAATAAGTGCTGTATTAAATGCAATGATGTATTGTGACAATAATGTCAGGCAGTCTCGGGGGTTGGAGCAGGCGGTCGATGCCTGATGTTATTCTCTCTCTTTGCCAGGGATGAGGAGGCTCCACAAAATATTCCGGACCCCTTGGCAGTGAAGCCTGACGCCTGGCTGGACAAGGAGCCACAGTACATTCCAGATCCAAACTCAGAGAGACCATCAGACTGGTGAGTAACACTAGGCACTGACTCTGCTCACACTCACACACACACATATACGCTCACTCTCACACACACAGCACTGCTGATTAATATATCCTCACCACGCTCCTGTTATGTCCAAGCACATCAGTGTCTACAGACCTAAATACACACACCCCTCACTGTGACACTGACACACACTCTCACTGTGACACTGACACACACACTCCCCTCACTGTGACCCGACTCACACTCCCCTCCCTGTGACACTGACACACACACCCTTCACCCCTGTTCAATCAATCAGATATGTAGACCGACCAATACCAACATGTGGAGCGTTGTTCTTTGGAATGACACGTCCGTTCCTCCTTTAAGTTTCCCGGGAATGTCTGACTGAATGCTTTCTACAGGGACGATGAAATGGATGGGGAATGGGAAGCAGCCCGGATCCTGAACCCTGTGTGTGAGAGCGCCCCAGGCTGTGGGCCCTGGAGACACCCAACCATCCCCAACCCGGACTACAAGGGGAAGTGGAAAGCACCAATGATTGACAACCTCAAATACAAGGTACACTTCAAATCATTGTAACACAAAAGTTCTGTCAGACCCTCACTCTCTATTACGTTCTCCGCAACTCACACTTTGTATGAGACACACCCTCTATAACATACACTCTCTGTTGGCTGGTACGTTTCACCCACAAACTGTCAGTCAATCCACCTTGGAATATATTCTGCAAAGCGCTTTGAGACATCTCAACGATGGGATAAGGTGCAAGGATTACTATTATAACCCCCCACCCCTGCTCTATAACTTACACCAAAACATACACTCTTGATAACACTCTTTATCGCACCCAGCCCTCTATCGCACCCCCTCTCTCTATTACCTACCTTCTCTGTAACATGAACCGAGTTGTTCCATCACTAAACATTTTCCCACATTTGTTCCCGACCGACAGGGAATCTGGAAGCCTCGAAAGATTCCCAACCCAGAGTATTTCGAGGACCCAACACCGTTCCGTATGACGGGAATCAGAGCTGTTGGCCTGGAGCTGTGGTCAGTGACGCCCAATGTCCTGTTTGACAGTTTTATTATCTCCTCTGATGAGGCTGTGGTAAAGCAGTGGATACAGGACACCTGGGCCCTGAAACAGAAAGCCTATCACGCTGCCAGAGTAAGTGACCTCCTCATCCCATGACCCGGAGCCCTGGGAAAGAGGTGTCAAATTCAGCCAAATAACATGAGTTTAGTGCACTCGCTGGGTTCTTGGGTTTACCATAAAAATATTTACCATAAAAAAGTTTTCTTACTCCACATACCTCTGTTTACCTAGCAGTAAGTAAGAACCTACTTGTTAGTCGAGTGGTGGATCACCTTCCAGGTGTAATAATCCCTCCTCTCCCCCTCCCCACCAAAAAAAATTATTCGTGACTGTTTGTGGGACACCGCGGTGGGCAATTGGCTGTCAGGTTTCCCCCACAAAATATACAGTCAATTTACTTTACAGTACTTTACTGTGGAAGCACTTTGAGACGACTTGACGATGTGATAAGGCGCTATATCAAGTGCAAGTATTATTATATGTATATGTGTATAATAGTGTTGTGGGGGGTGGGATTGACAGTGTCTAGATGTCTGTGCTGTAGTCATGAAAGTGAGACACTGGACAGTATTGCAAGTGGTTGTTGTCTATGAACTACTCACCCTGTCGTGTGATGTTCACAGCCGGGTGTGATAATGCAGCTGTTTTTGGCCACACACAAGAGGCCCTGGCTCTGGGGGATTTATGTCTTCACTGTCGCTCTTCCCGTTGTGCTGTTCATCAGCTTCCGATGGCCTGACTTGGTACAGTAATATGTAATATTTCCTGCCTCTACTGTCCTGAACTCTTGTACACAGTACATATCTGTTTGCCCTGTATCCGCATAAACTCCCCTGTACTTTCCTGTATTCTCTTATACTCTTAAATACTCTCTTGTGTTGTGCTTTAATGACTTATTCTAAACTCTCTTGTAGTGTATGGACAGTACTGTCCTTTATACTTCTGTACTGTCCTGTGTATTGCTGTGCTCTGTATTGCTGTGCTCTGGATTGCTATACTGTAGTGTTTATGGCTGTGCTGCCTGTGCTGTGGTTACAGAGGTTTGGGCCCCCAGATGATTACTATTACAAGAAGACGGATGAGGTACAGCCTGACGATGCAGATCAGCAGCAGAGTAACAGGAGGGACTGCGGGGATCCAGGTAAAGCATCTAACACACTGCACTGACTCTCCACGGACTCTCTCTCTCTGCAAACCTCACAGACAGCCTTCCAGCAGCTTCCCGATTTCCTCCCAAGGTTGGTTTGGATGAAGAAGACCCTTCGACCCATTTGATCCCATTGTGTGTTGGCCTGGCGCACTCTTGCCTCTGAGGCAGAAGGTTGTTAATTCAAGACCCATGTCGGGGCTTGGAATCCCATAGTCTAAGCTGACACTCACTCCAGTGCAGTGCTGGGGGGGAGCGTGGGGGGGGTGCGTTGTTGGAGGTACCGTCCTTTGGGTGAGATGTTAACCCAAGGTCTCGTCTGCCTGTTCAGGTGAATGTCAAAGATCCCTTGACACCATTTAAAAATAGAAGGGAGTTTCTCTCTCCCAGTGTCCTGGCCAACAATCCCCCAAATAAAATCGGTCACTCACTCCACGGCTGTTTGTGGGACACCTCTGTGCACCCACTGGCTGCTGCGTTTCACCCACAAAACACACAGTCAATCCACGTTAGAGTGCGCCCTGTAAAGCGCTTTGAGACGTCTCGACGATGTGATGAAGCGCTGTATCAAATGCAAGGATTATTATTAATTATTATTATCTTGATTATCATTATTAGAGGAGAAACAATCAGGAGTAAATAAGAGCAGGTTTGCTCAGCTGCTCAGTCTGTCAGTCCGGGTTTGCATTTAAGGCGAGTGACGTGTTTTCCCAGGTGAAAGCTCACACCTTCAGCAACAGGATGCCGGCAGTAAAGGGACAAAGAGAAGAGGTGCCCGGCCAACAGTGAGAGCAGATAAAGAAACCGCTGAGCAGGTGGGTTATTCCAGGGGTCCGTCGTCGGGTTTAGAGGAGCCGAGGAAGTGGGTACATTAATGACCTGGGTGGGTGAGATCGCCTTGCCCTCTGCTGGGTGGTAAATGTAATAAGGAAGTTAATCCCGGAATCCCTCTGCCTCACCCCATCCCTCGTCTCCTTCAAGGCCCGTCTTTTCTCTTTGATTCTCTTTTGGCCATACTTCCACCCCCGCCCCTCTCCCTCGCTGTCCAGAGCCTTGAGACGTCCTTCCGATGTGAAAGGCACTCTATGAATGTCGTCTTGTTGTCTGTCTGGCTCAGTTGGCAGCACTCACATCTGGAAGTGAGAAAGTTGAGGGCGGGAGCCCCACATCGGGACTTTGAGCTCAGTCTAAACCTACGCTCCAGTGCAGTGCTGGGGGAGCGTTGCATTGTCGAAGTGCTGTCCTTGGGATGAGACATTAAACCAAATACCCATCTGCCTGTTGAGGTGGACGTGAAAGATCCCACGGCGCTATTCGATAAGAGAAGGGAGTTTCTCTCTCCAGGTGTTCTGGCCATACATCTGTCAAATCAAATCAGTCACTCGCTCCATGGCTGTTTGTGGGACATTGCTATGTGCAAATTAGATGCTGTGCTCACCTACAAATTACACAGTCATTCCACTTAAGAGGAAATCTGGAGTCATGACCCTGACGTGAAAGGCGCTGGATCAAAGGTTAAAGATTCTAAGGATTGAGAAAACGCTCCAAACCGTCAGCTGGGAGTTGAGTTAATTGTGACCGATCTGTCCCGCAGGCAGGAGGGAGCAGCGAGACGGGTGAAGCGGAGACAGCAGCAGAGCCGACAAGACACCGCGCAAGACGGCCGGAGTGATAGCGATGAGCCGCGGGGAGTCACATAATCCCCAGAGAGACGAGTATTTTACACAGAATTCTCCACTGGGCAGAGCTTTTCAGAGACACTTCCTCCCCTTCCCCCACCCCCAACCTGGACACCTCAGTTGCCACTTTCTGTCAGTCACGCAGCTCATCACAGACTGCAATACAATCACCCACAAAATATACAGTCAATTCGCTTTACAATATATTCTGTGAAGCATTTCAGATGTGTCAACAACGTGATAAGGCGCTGTATCAAACACAAGGATTATTATTATTATTATGAATATTATTATTATGATGTTGAAAGGGAGTGATAGAATGAAATAAGGTACTTTGTTTTACTGATGGCCTTGAATCAGGCAGAGAATTTACAAGTTTTTTCTTGACTTACGACCTTACTATCCATTCATATAAGTACCACATTCCCAGGGAGTAAGCACGCAAGGTGAGTGTTACAGTAATTTGGGACGTAGAGGACCAGAAAATACTTTTGTGAGCCACTTGGACAATTCCAAAGTGAGAAACAAATTAAAATCCAACAAATAATTGCACATGACTTTCTCTTTCTCTCTCACACACACATGCACACATCCAAATTGTCACTAAATAGCGATTCAATTCCTCCTCGACTGGCCAGCCCACTCCATCCGCTCTGTGAACTCTAGCCTGCTCCATGTCCCCTGCCCCACCATCGGTGATCCATCCTTCACCTTCTCTGCCCCCACCCTTTGGAACTCTGTTCCATAGTCCCTTTGCATCGCTCCATCCCTTGCCTCGTTCAAGAACATAAGAATTAGGAGCAGGAGTAGGCCATTCGGCCCCTCGAGCCTGCCCCGCCATTCGATAAGATCATGGCTGATCTTCAGACCTAACTCTAATTACCTGCCCTATCCCCATATCCCCTAATCCCTCTGTTTTTTTAAAAATCTATCAGTCTCAGCCTTGAAGGTGTTCAAGGACTGAGCATCTACAGCCTTCTGGGGTAGTGAATTCCATAAATTCACTACCCTCTGAGTGAAGAAATGTTTCCTCAACTCTGTTCTAAAAGGCTGACCCTTAATTTTAGGACTGTGACCCCTTGTTAAAGATTCTCCTACCAGGGGAAACAATCCTTCAGTGTCTACTTTATCAGCCCTTTAAGAATCTTATATGTTTCAATAAGATCTCCCCTAATTCTTCTGTACTCTAGAGAATACAGCCCTAGTTTATTCAGCCTATCCTCATAGGTCAGTCCCCTCATCCCAGGAACTAACCGAGTGAATCTACGCTGCACCCCCTCTAGGGCAAGTATGTCCTTTTTTAAATAAGGAGACCAAAACTGCACACAATACTCTAGGTGCAGTCTCACCAAGGCCCTATACAGTTGCAGCAAGACTTCCCTACTCTTGTACTCTAAACCTTTTGCAATGAACGCTAACATGCCATTCGCCTTCTTAGTTGCTCGCTGCAAACTAACCTTTTGAGACTTTTTGTCAAGACCCTGCTCTTCGATCGTGCTTTCGGTCGCCCTCCTACCCCCACCTTCCCTGCTCTCCACCTGTCCTGATCCCAACCTATGGCTCGGATACAAATCCTTGTCCAGTGCTTTGGGACATCCTCCCGATGTGAAAGGCGCTACACAAATGTCGTTGGTTGTTTTACTAGAGAAAGAGCAATGCCCCCTCACAGTCATCTCTGAGAGCCCTAGAGAGACTGGTCTCATTCCCACTCCAGAAACCCAACTCCAGTACCACTCAATTGGAGCCTACTTTCTGTTGCAGGGATCCCTATTCCGACAGATTCCCTCATCCGTCCTTCCAATCATACCTTAAACCGAGGTCCCGTCTGCCTGTTCAGATGGACATTAAAGATCTCATGCACTATTCAAAAAGACAAGGAAATTTCTCTCTCCCGGTGTCCTGGCCAACAATCCCCCAAATAAAATAGGTCATTCACTCCATGGCTGTTTGTGGGACATTGCTGTGTGCAATTGCTGAGTTTTGCCCCCAAAATACGGTCATTCCCTTTTACAGTATATCCTGTGAAGCGTTTGATACTGTAAAGTGGAATGACCATATTCAACAGCGATGTGATGAAGCGCTACATCAAATGCAAGGATTATTGTTATTATCCCTGATACTGAGACGGTGATTATCATCCTCTGTTGGTTTGGAAACGCACGAGGTGAGAATGATCCGTCACTGGTATATCTGTGTGTGGCTGTAACAGCGATGCTCTCAGGTGACTGCAGAGGGAGGAGGGTGGCTGATGGGAAGGCTGCTCTGCCCTGTACAGAGAATTGTACCAGGAAACCTGTCAGACTGGGCTGGTGAGGATCTCATGTCACAATGCCAGCAACAAAAACAAAAATGCTTTCAGTTCCATGATGACTCCTGTTCCCTTGAGGGAATTCCCTTTCTACTGTTGTCTCCACGTGCAAAGGGGAAGCAAAGGTTGAAGGGATCAATGATTTAATGTCTGTGGTTAGATGCTTCTTCTGTTGGAACTCCTTTTGGGAGGTGGTGGTGAGAGGATGAGGATGTTGGCCAGGATTCTTTGGCTCGCTTCTGTTGTAGCGACCAGAGGATGGATGGCTTTTCTGTGGCATTTCACAGTGTCACCTGCCACTTCCTCAAGATCTTCCCTCACCTCATCAGATGAGGCAGCAGAAGCCTCCTCTTGCGATAGCATCATTTGTGTGGATATGAGCGTAGGAATTAGGAGCAGATGTGGAATTGGAATCTGGAGAACCTTGTCTTCCTGACTGCATTGTTCTGCTGCTAAAGGCAGCAAAATCACAACAAAATCAAGATAAAAGTCAACCTTGTGCCAGCGCTGCTCTATGCACTCTTGTGTTGTTGGCACCCAGAGTAAGCAGGTCGACATTATACCTGCTTGTTTGTTTTAGACAGGGAATGATGTAACAAGAACTAAAGAAAAGGTTGGCCAAATTGCATTCAGGGTGTCCTTAATTATTAACAACTTACAGAGTGCCTTTCACATAGGATGAAACACTTTGCAATGCCAATGGGTTTAACTGCATTACAGGCGATTCTAGAATCCCTAACATTGTTTTTTTTACATAATTAAGGGCACGTGGGATTCATCTGGACAATGGATTACCCAACCTGAATTTTAGATCATTTAACAAATGGCTTCCACAACAGCTAGAGGCACTGACCATTTGCAGCGCGAGGCTCCAAAGGCTGGAACGTCGCGAGTTTGCATCCCAGTCGCTTCTGAGATACCTAATTCTTTGGGGGGGGGGGGTCAGCCGGGTGTCTGACACGTGCGGAAACCCATCACCATGCTTAAACGTATCAAGCTGCATCAAACAGATGCTATTGTTACTGTGGAGTATCAAACCAAACTGAGAATTCCCTGCCTTCCACCTACGCGTGGGAATTCCTGAGAGATTGTTAGAATGGAAATGCACACTCTCTCATCCTAATTCCGGAAAGTACTGGTTGGCAAGAGTGAAGACTTGGGCATGGAACCCTGTAGCGTACTGGTTAGAGTACTCGCCTCACAAGCGAGAGGACCCGGGTTCGATTCCCAGGCAGTGCGAAACCTTAGGCAAGTTTCCACACACCTCTGTTTACCTAGCAGTAATTAGAACCTGGTTATTAGTTGATTGGCGGATTGCTTTCCGAGGGTAATAATCCCTTAAAAAAAGGTCACTCAATTCATGACTGTTTGTGGGACACTGCCGGGTTTCACCCACAAAATATACGGTCAATCCACGTTACAATGCATTCTGTGAAGCACTTTGAGATGTCTCAATGATGTGATAAGGCTCTAAATCAAATGCACGGATTATTATTATTATCATTATTATTATTGGGGACTCCGGAGTGTGCATTGGAGTAACTGCTGGTATCTAACCAGCTAAACATATGCTGCTGATCATAGCAGCTCGGAGATTAGGTACAAAGTGCAATCTTACCTGGCTCTGTTTCAGATTCTGAAATCACTTTCATTCATCCAGATAGAATATAGAAAGAGAGGGGCACATGTGACTAGCCGTGAAAGTTAGGGTTTTATTAAGCCAGAATTAAATAAACTTAATACAAAAAGGTTTTGCAACTCGGTTCAAGACATTAAGCTATTGATTCTAACAGTGTTACTCTGCGACACTGGCCTGGCTCCACTCCCAGGCTTTCTAACATACATAAATAGTTATTATTACTATTTGTCTGTCTTCTTGGAGCTTTTGGTTGGTCTGCAAAATACAAAGGACATTTTTTTTATTGAAATTAATTTGTCATTTAAGGCAAACCAAGGAACTGAATGAATTTAAGAATTGGGGTGGTGGGGGGGTGGTTTAACCCTTTCAGCCGCTGGTGGGGGGAGCTAACAGGGAATGACTGAGCAGAGAGCTCCCAGACAATGCGGGGAGAGAATGCACAGGCTGTATGGTGCCTGACAGCCCTCTTGCTCAGGGAATGGAGTGCAGGTCACTCATACACTCACTCACACAGTGACTGTATTCTCCTATTGCCCTCCTCCCCATTCAGGGAATCCATGATATGGATGGGACTTTAACATAGGAGCAAGTCGGGTGCAAAGTGATATACATTTGTTGCGGTTATGGTTTCTGCCACAGTTAGAGCATGCATTCGGGGTAAATCCATGTGATATGGAATCTGCTTTTAACCCACTCTACCACCCACTGCCTCCGCTCGGCTAACTCTGGCCTCCTGCTTGTCCCAAGTCCCCACCGCTCCACCATCGTGCTTTAGGCCACTACACCCCGAAACTCTGGAACAAACTCCCTCAACTCCTCAGCCTTGCCCTCTCCTTCCCTTTTTTCAGATTACATCTGAAGACCTTTCTCTTTGACCATACCTACGGTCACCTCCCCCCTCCCCCGCCCAACGCCCAAGGCTCAGCATCAGGCTTCACTGTTATTTAGCACTCTGAGACGCTACCTTGGGTGAAAAGCACTATATAAATGCAAGTTGTTGTTGAATATGTTCCTTTTTAATCACTGAGTTGAAGAGAAAGATCTTTCAATCGGTCCTAAAAGTTTTGGAGTTGAATTCAATTGAAAATTCCTGGCCTTGAAAGGAGTGGATGAGGTAAGGTCGTTCAGTTCAACTTAACCCTCGTTTTCAGCTGCCTCCTCCTCTACCCGCAGGGTCGATTAACCAGGAATGAGCCTGGGGGTGAAAGGGTTAAACCAGGTATTGACACAGACATACAACATGCAGATGAGCCCACTACACCTGTCGGGGTATAAAGCTGACTGGTGTCAGAGCGTCTTACTTTCTCTTGTTCTTGGAGTCTGTGGTTTGGAAGACGCTGGAGGCTGACATGAGGTTTTCGATGTACTGTCCGAGCACTTGATTCTCGGACTTGAGTTTCAGGTTCTCCTCTTTGACAGCATCGACTCTGGCTGAGAGATCTGCTGAGCAAACAAAGTGATCAACAGAAAACGCATGGGGAGGATACGGGGTGTGTGGAGGGGGGGAGGAGGGGGGAGAGTGGCAAAGAAAATAAGTGCAGCAGCAAAGTGAGCCGCAGATAGAGTTCAGAGAGATATTATTTTGGTTGGCTGGGATGCAGCAACCCATCATCACGCTTAAGAGTATCCAAACAACCACTACAAATTACATGTGTACAGCGCCATTCACGTCTGGAGGATGTCACAAGGCGCTGGACGGTCAAGGATTTGCACCCGAGCTGGAGAAGGCAGGGAGGGTGGGGGTAGGAGGGTGACCGAAGGCATGGTCAAAGAGGAAGGTCTCGAATGGGCCTTGAAGGAGGCAGGGGATGGGGAGAGGTGAAGGGGCTGTAGGATGGAGTTTTAAAGGGTGGGGGCAGAGATGCTGAAGGTCCGACCGCCAATGTGGGTGGGCTGGCCAGGCGGGGTCATGAAGTAACCCAATAGTCCTGCAAATTTTTCCCTTTCAAGTAAATACCCCATTCCCTTTTGAAGGCTATAATCCAATCTGCTTCCACCGGCCTTTCAGGCACTGAATTCCAGATCATAACAACTCTCTGGGTCAGAAAATGTTCTCCTTCTTTCCCCTCCGGTTCTTTTGCCAATTATCTTAAATCTGTGTCCTCTGGTTACCGACCCACCCACCAGAGGAAACAGTTTCTCATTATTTACTCTATCAAAACCCCTCTTATTTTGAACACCTCTGCTCCAAGGAGAACAATCCCATCTTCTCTCGTCTCTCCACATAATTGAAGTCTCTCATTCCTGGTATTATTCTGGTGAATCTCTTTTGCACCCTCTCCAAGGCCATGACATCCATTTGTCAGCGGTAATAATCTCTTCAAAAATAAATTTTTTAAAAATAATAAAAATTTGGTCACTCAATCCACGACCTGTTTGTGGGACACTCCTGTCAATTGGCTGCTGCGTTTCGTCCACAAAATATACAATCAATCCACTTTACAGTGAAGAGACATGATAAGCCGCTATATCAAATAAAAGGATTATTATTATTTCCTTCCTAAGGTATCAGTGAATTCACACCAAGGTGGGTCAGAGGGGATCAGCCACCTCACCTTCCAGTGTGTGCTGCAGTTCCAGAACCTGGTTAATTAACCTCGTTTTCTCCTCCACCTCCTCATGATTCTCATAATCTGCGCCTGCAAAGGGAGAGAAAGAGAGAGAAGGAAGTGAGACAGCTGAACTATCACCCGTTGACCCCTCTATGGGTCACACCTCCGCCACTATCTCTCCCCTCAGGCTGCTGAAACCCTCATCCACGTTTTTGTTACATCCAAGCTTTGACTTCGCTAACCCCCTGCTCACCGGTCTGCCCAACTCTTCCCTAACAACACGCTGCAGATTATTCAGAAGATGATTGCCCCCATCCTCACCCAGATTCACTGGCTCCCTATACCCCAGAGTATCAATTTCAAGATCCTTGTCTTCACCTATAAAGCCCTCCACGGACTTGCTCTTCCCTATCTCTGTGACCTAATAAAACTTCCAATCTCTCCTTCTGCTTGGTAGGCACTGGCCTCTTCCATGTCCCCCACCTTCCCTGCTTCGCTATTGGGGGTCAGGTCTTCAGCCTTTCTGCCCCACTCTCTGGAACTCCATCCCAGAGCACCTCCGCCTCGCCCCCTCCCTTACCTCCTTCAAGGCCAGTCTCAAGACCTTCCTTTTTGATTGTGCCTTCAGTCATCCTCTATCTTCCACCTTCCTTTGCCCTCCACCTCTCTCTTATCCCAACCCGCCGCTCGGATGCAAATCCATCAATTTCCAGAGCCTTGGGATGTCCTCCCAACATTAAAGGTGCTATATAAATGCAATTTGTTGTTGTCCATTCCACCAACACCATCTCCCCTCTGACCCCCATCACAGCATTGTCAGAGATGCTGTCCTTCAGGTATACGTGAAAGCACTACTCATTAATAGAAAGGAGTTTCTTCTGGTGTCCTGGCCAACAAGGCTGAAATTAGCAAATGCTCCGCATTCTCCAAATACAGTCACTACACTTTCTGTACAGCACTTTGCGATCTTTTGATGACGCAATAAATCAATTGCAAGGATTATTTATTACTGCATTTTTTTCTCTGCCGGGGCAAGAAGGAGGGCTGGAGTGTTGTCCATGGAGATCAAGAGGCCTATCAATTGGTAAGCTATGTAGTTTTAGCTGGTTTGACTCCAGCAGTTACCCCAACGCGCACTCTGGGGTCCCCAAACCTTGGCATAACACCCTCCGGAAATAGGTAAACAGGATGCTTCCCTCCATGGAGAGAGAGAGAGCGCATTCCATTCCAACAATCTGTCTCTGGGATTTCCACGTGTCGGTGGGAATGCATGGAAATCTCAGCTTGGTTCGGATACTCTTAGCACGGTGATGGGTTTCCGCGCGTGTCGGACACCTGGCTGAACGGAAATAAAAAAAAACCTGAGTCCTTGGTCCCACACTCCCCTCACCTCACCATCCAGGACTTTATGGATTGGTTAGATTTTCTTTCCTAAAAATAATAAAAGGAAATGGCACAGCCTAAATGTATTATAAAGATGTGTGCACATCCCCTGCTCAGCACTCCACAGTTTAAACCTTGTGTACTGATCAGGGTGTTATATTATATATATATACAATTATATTAATTATAATTATAAGGTGATACCTTCTGTATCCGCGTTCATTTTGTCATCAACCTCCTGTGGAAATCTCATTCGATGCCCGGTGTCCCAGCGACTCTTGTCTAATCTACAGACTGGGATGAGCAAAAACACACACATAAACACTTAAACACATAAAGACACCTAAATAAACAGCTGCTCGGCCACTACCACCGATTTGCAAACACAAAGCAGCCTTTTGTGCTCAGCCGATCTCGTCCCCGACCGCCACGGGGAGAGAGACACGAGCTCAGGCTCCATCATCATCATCATCATCATCATGGATATGCTGTTTAACAAAAATTGGTGGAGGAGAATTTAATATCAGACACAGACACACACACATATATACACACACATACATATATACACACACATATACACACACACACATATACACACACACATATATATACACACACATATATATATACACACACATATATATACACACACACACACATATACAGACACACACACACATATACACACACATCTATACACACACACACATCTATACACACACACACATCTATACACACACAAATATATACACACACACATATATACACACACATATATACACACACACAAATATATACACACACATAAATATACACACACACACACACATATATATATACACACATATATACACACATATATATATACACACACACATATATACACACACACATATATACACACACATATATATATACACACATATATACACACATATATACACACATATATACACACACACACACACACACACACAAATACACACACACACCAGCGCTGGTCATAGGGACAAATATGCAAAAGAGGATATGGAGGAAGAGGGAAAAATCCAATATATTGGTGTATTTATGCACTTGATGCCGATTGCAGCCGAACATGTGTGTAACTGACGGAATGGACATAACCGCTGTCCACAGCCACAGCGGAGCTCAGGTCCCACAGTCAGTAACAGCTGAAGGTCTCTTTGGTTTAAACCAACAACAAAATGTCTCTTCGCATAATGTGCGTTTGAAAACCCGTGAAATATTTTACATTTAAATGCCCTCTTCCCCCCCTCTCCCCCCTCCTTCTCTCTCTCCTTCCCTCCCCCCTCTCTCTCTCTTCTACCCCTCCCTCCTTCCCTCTTCCCCCCTCTCTCTCTCCCTCTCCCCCCTCTCTCTCCCCCTCCCCACTCTCTCCCTCTCTCCCCCTCTCCCCCCTCTCTCTCCCTCTCCCTCTCTCTCAGTCACTCCATCTCCCCCTCTCTCTCTCTCCCCCCTCTCTCCCCCCTCTCTCTCCCTCGCTCTCTCCCCCCCTCGCTCTCTCTCTCTCCCCCCTCTCTCCATCTCTCCCCCCCTCTCTCTCTCTCCCCCTCTCTCTCTCCTCCCCCCCCCTCCCCCCCTCTCTCTCCCCCCCCTCTCCCCCCCTCTCTCTCCCTTTGCAGACACACACACAGCAATGGCTCTGATTACAAATCGTTACAATTGCTACATCATTTGCCTGTATTCCTGGCCCCGTTTTCCCTGACATCCCCCCCCCCACCACACCACCCCCCCCCCCACACACACACCCCACACACACCCCCCCCCCACACCCCCCACCCACACACCCCACACACCCCCCCCACCCCCCACACCACCCCCCCCCCACACACACACCCCCACACACACCCCACACACACCCCACCCCCCAAACCCCCACACACCCCACACACACACCCCACCCCCCACCCACACACCCCCCACACACCCCCACACCCCCCCCCACACACACCCCCCACACACACACCCCCACACCCCCCCCCACACACCACACCCCCCCACCCACACCACACACCCCCCCACCCACACACCCCTCACCCACACACACACCCCACACACACACACCCACACCCCCCCCCCACACACCCCCCCCACACCACACCCCCCCCCACCACACACCCCCCACCACCACACCCCCCCCACACACCCCCACCCAACACCCCCCCCCCACACACACACACACCCCAAACACCCCCCCACACACACCCCACACCCCCACACACCACACCCCAAACACCCCCCCCACACACACACACCCCCACACCCCCCCCCACCCCCCACACCCCCACACACACCCCAAACACCCCCCCACACACACACACCCACCCCCCACACACACCCACCCCCACACACCCCACACACACACCCCACACACACACCCCACACACACCCCCACACACACACATCCTCACCCCCACACACATCCACACACACACCCCCACACCCCCACACACACACCCCAAACACCCCCCCCACACACACACCCCCCACACACCCCCACCCCCCACACACCCCACACACACACCCCACACACACACCCCCACACACACACATCCCTCACCCCCACACACATCCACACACACAGCCCCCCACCCCCCCCACACACACCCCCCACACACATCCACACACACACCCCCCACACACACCCCCACACACATCCACACACCAGCCCCCCCCCCCCACACACCCCCACACACATCCACACACACAGCCCCCCACCCCCCCCACACCCCCCCCCACCTGCTCCCACAGATTGAGAGATGGGAAACGAATCGAATCAATGAATGACGAGTGAGTGAGTGAATGGGTTGAATGGACTGAGCGCCTCTCCCCGACCCGCGGTGCGGTGCGAAGCCAAGAAGGAGCCCAGACCCTCACCCCCTCCCCCCCCCACTCCCCCACCACCGCCCCCTCCTCTCCCCCCCCTCTCTCCCCCCACCCCTCCCCCCCCACCACCACCACCGCCCCCCCTCTCCCCCCCACCACCACCGCCCCCTCCTCGGAATTTACCTTCGCTCCGATCAGCCGCTGCTCTCTCGCTGCTGTGTCTGAGTGAGAGCAAAAGGAGAGCGTCAGCCCCGCAGTGCGCAGTCAGTGAGTGAGTGTGAGAGAGAGAGAGAGAGAAAAGGAGAGAGAGAGAGAAAAGGAGAGAGAGAGACGCCCCCCCCCCCCCCCCACCCCCCCAGTGCTCCTGCAAGTCGCTGTTGGACCTCTTACACCAGTCCCTGGGGGTCCTTCCCCTTCATAACCACTTACTGTTTATCACACGTCATGTTGATCGCGGTCCTCGCACTCAGTGCGGTTCCTGATTCACGGTGGTCTTCGCGTCGGATAGAGCGCTTTATCGAGTCGCTCGGACGTCTCAAAGCGCTCCACGGGATGCAGCGCCCGGTCAACAACCACCGCCGCCGCCACCACCACAACAGCGACAAGATTACATTTGTGTCAGGGCCTTTCACGTCGGGAGGACGTCCCGAGGCGCTGGGCGGAGTACAGCATTTCGGACCCGAGCTGGGGTCGGGGAAGGAGGGGAGGGGGGGTGGCGGATGGCATGGTCGAAGAGGAGGGTCTTGCGGTGGGGCTTGAAGGAGGCTGAGGAGGGGGCGAGGCGGAGTGATTGGGGATGGAATTCCAGAGGTTGGGAGCAGAGTGGCTGAAGGCTCTCCCGCCAATGGTGGGGCGGGTGGGTCGGGGGACGTGGAGGAGGCCGGAGCCGCTGAGCCGAGGGAACGGGCGGGTTGGTAGGGGGTTAGGAGGTCGCAGAGGTAGGGTGGGGGCGAGGCCATGGAGGGCTTTGTATGTGAGGACCAGGATCTTGAACTGGATCCTCTGAAGGATAGGGAGCCAGTGGAGTCGGGTGAGAATGGGGGAGATTTATCACGTTCGAAGGACAACAACAACAACAACAACAAATTATATTTTGTTTAGCGCCTTTCACGTCAGGAGGACATCCCAAGGCCCCAGAGAGTCAGGGACCTGCACTTGAGCTGGTGGTTGAGATTAGGAGGGTTGGAGGGCGGGGAGGGTAGGGGTAGGTGAGGGGTGGGTGACCAAAAGCACGGTCGAAGAGGAGGGTCCCAAATCAAGCACAGGATTTACTGTGAAATGGAGTGACTGTGTGTAGGCAAGAATGGCAACACATTTGCGCACAGCAATGTCCCACAAACAGCCATGAAATGAATGAACAATTTTTTTTATTTGTGGGGTTGTTGGCCAGGACACCAGGAGAGAGAAACTCCCTGCTCTTTTTCGACTAGTGCCACAGGATCTTTAACGTCCACCTAAACAGGCAGATGGGACTTTGGTTTAACCTCTCACCCGAAGGGTGGCACCTCCGACACTGCAACACCTCCCTCCGCTGTACTGGGGTGACACCTTAGACCAAGGTCCTATCTTGCCTTTCATTCAGAACTCTGCCGCCCGCACACTGACCCGGACCAAATTGCGTACTCACATCTCACCAGTTCTGGCCCAGGCTCCACTGACTCCCCATCACCCAACAGATCGACTTAAGATCCTCCCACTTGGGTTCAAATTCCTTCACTCTCTGGCACCTCCCGACCTCCCCGACCTCCTCTCTCCCCAATCCACCACCCGGCTCCTCCTCTCAACTGGCACTGACCTCCTGCTCGTCCCTCGCACCCTCTGCCCCACCATCGGAGGTCGCGCTTTCAGCCACTACACCCCAAAACTCTGGAACACTCTCCCTCAATCCCTCTGCCTTGCCCCCTCTCACCCCTTTTTCAAATCCCATCTGAAAACTTTTCTCTTCGACCGTACTTACGGTCACCTCCCCCCCACCCCCGGCTCGGAGTCGGGCTCCTCCACTGTTAAACACTCCATGAAGGGCAAGTTGTTGTTACCTATTCAGGTGAACGTTAAAGATTCCTGACACTATTGACAAAGAGAAGGGAGTTTCTCCTGCTGTCCTGGCTAACAATCCCCCAAAATAAAAATTGGTCACTTACTCCATGGCTGTTTGTGGGACATTGCTGTGTGCAACTAGCTGACGCATTTCGCCTACAAAATAACCGGTCACTCCACTTTACTCCATAGTGTATCGCTATGAAGCGCTTTGAGACTCTCAACGATGTGATAAGGCGCTATATCAAATGCGAGGATAAATATTATTATATTGAATAGCAAACAGTAATGAGAAGTCTATGGCACCTGTGGCAATTGTAACTACATGTGGTGAGAAGCCCATCTCAGCACAGATCCTCACTATTACCTGCTCAAGCCCCAGTTCCCTGGGTCCAGGTAGGACTGCAGTTGCATACTGCTGGGTTACTGGAGGACAATTGAGAATCTGAAGTCTGTTTATAACAATAAGGACATCTATTCATTAGGCTCATGGACGTGGATTAATGAGCGAGAGACTGCGATGTGTCCATCCATTGTTAGAACGAACACATGCACTTTACATGACTTGAGATAATAATAACAACAATAGTCCTTACTTTTGATATCGAGCCTATCAAATCAGGAGGATATGAAAGGATGTATCAAATGTAAGGGTTATTGTATTATTGTATTGTAAGGATTATTATAATAATCAAAGCTAGAGACCTGAGGTCAATTCCAGGCAAAGGGCGAAACCTTGGGCAAGTTTCCTTGAGACTCTCAAAGCCCTTCACGTGTCTATTGTTGTGGAGTCCTGTAGCTCAGTGGTTAGAGCACTCGCTTTGCAAGCGAGAGACCTGAGTTCAATTCCAGGCAGAGGGCGAAACCTTGGGCAAGTTTCCTTACTCCACACAGAGCCTAATAATAATCCCTCCAAAACCCCAAAAACAATAATAAATTGGTCATTTTTAATCTACGACTGTTTGTGGGACATTGCTGTGCGCAATTGGCTGCCGCGTTCGCCCACAAATTTACAGTCAATTCACTTTACAGTGTGTTCTGTGAAGCGCTTTGGGACGTCCTCCCAACGTGAAAAGCGCTATATCAAATGCAAGGATTATTATTATTATTATTATTGTATTTCGCTCACAAAATACTCAGTCAATTCACTTTACAATATATTCTGTGAAGCACTTTAAGACTCTCAATGACTGATAATGTGCTATATCAAATGCAAGGATTATTGCTATTATTATTTTCTTATACAGTATACTAACCTCAATTGCCACTCTGCTACCCATTGCACATAATATTGGGCTACTTTAGGCTAGTATTTGGTGGATTGAAGTGGAGTGACTGTGTTTTTTATAGGATGAGGATTTTTTTTGTTATAATAGCCTCCTTTTCGATTGAATTATTCTGCAAATGTCATCTTAAATGGGGGGGGAGGGGATAACGCATTGCTTCAAAGCCCAGAGGAGAGGAGAAGGAAGATGATGCTTATTTACTGTCTATCTTATTTTGTTCCACTCAAAAGTCTTTGGGCTTAAATAGTCTACAATAACAATTTGCATTGCTGTAGCGGCCTTCATGTGGGGCAGCACTTAACAGTGGTGGCGCTCGACACTGAGCCAGGGAAAGGGAAGAGGTGTCCACGAGTATGGTTGAAGAGGAAGGTCTTCAGTCATGATCTAAAAGAAGGAAGGAAAGGGGAAGGCAGAGGGATTGGGAGAGACAGCGTGTAAGGGCTGAAAGCATAGCCTCTGACGGTAGAGCAGAGGTGACGAAGGACAAGCAGGAGGCTGGAGCCAGATGAGTTGACACAACGGGTAGTGGAGTGGGGGGAAAGCAGGTCAGAGAGGTAGGGTGGTGCCTTTGTCTAGTCTAACACCTAGCCTAACCTAAATCTACCCAGTCTAAATGCCTAAATAGTATTAACTGTGCTGACTTAGCTACAGTGGGGTTCTGCTGCCTGAGGCAGAGAGAGAGGAAAATCAGCCCCATCAGGAAACCCACATGTGGACATTGAGTGAGGATGAGGGCTTAGCTGTGACCCGGTGTTATCGTCGTTCCCCCCCTCCTCCCCCCGCACCGCACCCCATGGAGGAATAGCCTGGCACCACAAACTGTCTAGGCTCGTACCTGAAGAACAACCGTTTGGGTGTGGGTTTGGAAGGGAGCCAGAGAGACTCGCTCGAATGTGTTCCAATGTCTTCAGGAGAGAAGAACAGCCAGCAAGGGGTGGGGGGGGGGAGGGAGGGGTGTGGGGTTGTCGGGGAGAGCTGCCAAGAAACATATTCCAATAAATGGATAATTTTCATAATTGCTGTGCCGTCTGCATTGAAGGCCCAATAGCAGGTAACGTAAACAGCAATATAATAGCAACTGTAACTGCTTGTGTTTATGCTATGAGACAGATCAGACTCTTGCTTCCCTTTTTTCTATCCTTATTGAGTCCTGGGCTTTGATGAATCCCTCTCAGCGAAACTGTCAAAATTCTTACATTATTCCGAGCAATGCCTCCACTTCCTCTTCAAACCCCAGGCCGAACAGTAACCATAACGACCTGCTTCGGTGCTGAAAAGTAGCCAGGCTCGTTACCACAACAACAGCTTCATTTGCATCTCCCTCAACCTTTGAAGTTTTATTTCCACAAAGCAAAATAGCCACGTATTTCGACGCAAGTCAAGTAATGCCACCAGCAAAGCCATCTAGTCGGAGGTATGATATTCAGTGCATCGCACTCTGCAGAACTCTTCGTTTTATCACCACTGCACATATCATCCATAAATTTGGTGTGGGCTACGGTCCAGACCCACTTCACCTCCTTCAGTGTGAGATACGGCGGATGTTAGAGGAAGAACAAGTTACTGTGTAATGTGCAAATATTGTGGAAGATAGAACAACGTGGGTGTGGAACAAGGGTCCACGTGGTGAAGTTGGTCCATCACCTGAATGAGGGAAGAGGAGCACTTTACACATTTCCCTAGTCACTCATTGACAAAGCATAATTGCTAGATGAACGAAGACCAAGGTCCATCCAGTTCGCCTTCCACTATCACGGCAATCGCAAGCAAATGTCATGTCCCAAATTATATCCCGAGATATTATTTCCCAAAAGAAAACTATTTTATTTGCTTTTGAAAGAATCAACGCTTTCTGCTTCCAGCGTCTCACTAGGGAGCCTGCTCTATACATAGGTCAACAGTTTCTAACAGGATTCCTTAGTCATTGGTAAGTCCCCTTCCCGCCCCCTCTCTCTCTCTCTATATATGTATATATATATAATCTCGTAGGGGTCTGATATGCAGAATTCATTAATAAAGGAAACACAAAATATTGCAGATGCTGGAAATCTGAAAACAGATTTCGAGTGAGACAGCGATTTACATGTTCTACCACCAATTAGTTCACTTTATTCACTGCTCACGATGTGGTCTCCTCTACATTGGGGAGACGAAACACAGAATGGGTGACTGATTTGCCAAACAACTCCATTCTGTCCGCAAGCACAACCCTGAGCTTCCGGTTTCTTGCCATTTCAACTCTCCCTCCCAGTCGCACTCTGACCTCTCCATCCACGGTCTCCTACCTGTTCCAATGAACCACAGCGCAAGCTCGAGGAACAGCACCTCATTGATCTACTGGGGACCTTGCAGTCCTCTGGCCTCAATATTGATTTCAACCATTTCAGACCATAACAACTCACATTCCCCCTCCCCCTCTTCTGTGATCATTACCACATCATCTTGGTACCAGACGCATCTTTCCTCTCTCTGGTCTGCCTGTTTTGTTGCAATTCCCTCCCTCCCTTTGTTCTGCAGTATTAACACCTCTATTCCCCTGCTTGGTTGCAATTCCTCCCCCCACCCCCTTTGCTTTGCATCATTAACACCTCTTTAAGCCATCATCCCCTGTCCTCTACCCTATTTTCTCCTTTGCCTTCCTTGCTCTGCCTCCCCCCTCTCTGTTAGCCCTTAAAAGCCTCTCCCTCCCAACATGGCCCAGTTCTGACGAAGGGGCGTGGATCCAAAATGTTGACTCACTTTCCTTTCTCCATAGATGCTGTTTGACCTGCTGAGTGTTCCCAGCGACTTCTGGTTTTGTTTCCTTAATAACGGAATTGGCAAAAGAACCAGAGGGGAGATGAGAATTTTTTCTCTTTTTTTTAAAACACACAGTAAGATTTTTTTACGATCTGGAATGCACTGCCTCGAAAGGCTGGTGGAACCAGATTCAATAATAACTTTCAAAAGAGAGTTGGATATATACTTGAAAAGGAAGAAGTTACAGGGCTATGGGGAAAGAGCAGCGGAGTGGGACTTCTTGGTAGTTCTTTCAAAGAGTCAGCACACGCACAATGGGATTCTACGATTCTATGAAAGCAACCATAAGCATGTTATCTACCTTCAGAGCACTGAACCCGCCATCCGTCCAGTTAGTGGCAAGAGTCTCCACTTGGGTTTCCTTATTAAGAAATCCTGTTAAAGATGACACTTAACCTTGGGTCTTATCTCTGGAGTTTCTCCTGGTTTTCTGGCCAACAACAACTTGCATTTATAAAGCAATCTTCAGCATCTTTGAGCGCTTAACAGTGGCGGAGGCTGCCGCTGAGCTGGGGGAAGGGAGGAGGTGACCTTAAGCACGGTCGAAGAGGAAGGTCTTCATTTGTCATTTAAAAGGGAGAAGAATGCTCCAAGGCAGAGGGATAGGGGAAAGAGAGTTCCAAAGCTTTGGGGCGTAGTGGCTAGAAAGCACGGCTGACAATTAATAATAATAATAATAATAATCCTTGCATTTGATATAGCGCTTTTCACGTCAGGAGGACGTCCCAAAGCGCTTCACAGAACACACTGTAAAGTGAATTGACTGTATATTTGTGGGCGAACGCGGCAGCCAATTGCGCAATTGTGTAACAGAGGGTACAAGGGACGATTCCACCCAGATAAAATTGGTCATTCACTGCATGGTTGTTGAAAGACTTTGCTGTGCACAAATTGGCTCTGCCACAATCTCTTACACTGTCACTACACTTGACAATGAATCCCGTGAAACACTTTGAGATATTTTGACAAAGTGATAAGGCACTATACCTCCTACTTGAACATTCACCTGAAAGGTTCTTAACCTTGCGGACCCGAGTTTGATTCCTAGGCTGTAACAGCAACACAGGGGTTTGCTGACCTCACCCTCTGTTCGTCAGCATTGAAGTCACACATCGAAATGTCAGTTCCAGAGTGCCATTCCAAAATACTGTAATAATAATAATAATAATAATAATCCTTGCATTTGATATAGCGCTTTTCACGTCGGGAGGACGTCCCAAAGCGCTTCACAGAACACACTGTAAAGTGAATTGACTGTATATTTGTGGGCGAACGCGGCAGCCAATTGCGCACAGCAATGTCCCACAAACAGTCGGTGGATTGAAAATGACCAATTTTTATTATTGTTTTTGGTTTTTGGAGGGATTATTATTAGGCTCTGTGTGGAGTAAGGAAACTTGCCCGAGGTCTCACCCTGTGCCTGTATACCAAACAGGGGACGAGGGAGAGAGAGAGGGAAAAGGGGGATATTCAGTTCAAAGTCTGAGATCTTAGTTCATGTTCATTCGGCTATTAAAACTACTATTCCCGTACTAAAACTGGAGTCCTGTAGCATAGTGGTTAGCATGCTCGTCTTGCAAGTGAGAGGACCTTGGCAGGGCAAAACCTTAGGCAAGTTTTCTTACTCCACATGTCTTTGTTTATCTGGCAGTGGAGTAGGAATCTGGTTGTCATGTTGATTGTCGGATCACTTTCCAGGGGTAATGATCCCTAAAAAAAAAAAAATTTGGCCCCTCAATCCACGACCATTTGTAGGATACTACGGTGTGGAATTGGCAACCACGTTTTGCCCACAAAATACACAATCGGATTTACAATATATTCTGTGAAGCGCTTTGAGACGTCTCAAGAACATGACAAGGCGCTATATCAAATGCAAAGATTATTATTATTATTGCTCTCAAATCACATTGAGCAAGATCACAGCTCAAAAATGAGGTAAATCTGGTGCTGCTTGCATTCATATTTTCATGCCCAACACTGGCAATTACAACCTAGAGTCCCACCGTCAGAGAATAGAAATGGGATAAACAGGTAATCGCCAGTGTAAACCCACATCATTTACATGTAGTACAGACCAGCTGAAATTTGCAAAGAAGGTTGCAAATAATTTGCAACTAGGTCACCTCATACCCTTTACAGAACATACCCAAATGTCGCCAGACACTGAGTTAAAAGTAGCTTTGAAACATCCACATTTTCTGTCACCCATCTGCTTGCAAAATAGCAACATGCTGCAGTAGAATAATCCGTAATTAACCCACATCGAAACATTTCCTGCTTTATGTACATTGTAGTTCTCAAAATGAACCCCTAACGAAGTGAATTTGATGCTGGAATTTCAAGAAAGTAATTCTTGTATGTGATGTAGCACTTTTCTCATCAGGAGGACGTCTCAAAGCAATTCATGGGATTTAAAGTGCAGTGACTGTGCATTTTGCGGATGGCAACCTATTTGCGATAAACAGATTTATATCCCAGGACATCAGATAAACACCCTTCTCTTTTCATGTAGTGACTTAGGATCTTTAACATCCACTTGAAAACAGACAGTCAGGACCTTAGGTTAATGAAACCTCATCCAAAGAACGGCACAATTAACAATGCAGTGCACCCCCAGCAATGACTTGGGTTCGCGGGAGAACCCATGCTATAGTGAGGTGCCTTACAAGGGAGTCGCCCTATGATGGCCGCTAATGGCCAGGGTTAACTAGGTAGAATATTTCTAATTGGTATCCATTGACAACTGGTATGAAATGCGGGTTTGTGGACATCAGGCGAGGACAGTACCACCATACCCTCTGCAGTGCAATAGTCTGCAGGATCTTAATGTCAAGGTCACATAGGAATGAAGATCTGATGATCCACACAATAGTACGCCAAGTAGAAGGGAAGAAAAAGTCAGAGAGCTCACGAGCTGGCATTACGTTGATCCTTCCGTCTTGAAAATGTAAATAACTGGGAACCCACACGATGGCTTTACAGTCGTGCATATGCATGCTGTGATATCAACCGTAAATCGTGGACCCAACAAGAGCGACAGACACAAGACACACCAACAACAACCACCAAAGTTAAAATGGAAGTCCTGCTTTTATTATTAAAAGACATTTTGCTATTGACCATTTGCTTCATTCTGGTGATGATGGAGTGGAGGGAGGGAGGAGGAAAGGAAAGAGGGGCAGTGAAGGAGGGAGAGGTGTGTGAAGGAGGGAGGGATGGGTGAAGGGAGGGGGCGGTAAAGTCAGGAAGCGGGGCTAAGGAGGGAGGGGGGGCTAAGGAGGGAGGGGGGTTAAGAAGGGGGGTGGAGCTAAAGAGGGAGGGGTGGCTAAGGAGGGAAGGAGGGAAGGGGGGGAAGGAGGAGAGGAGGGAAAGGGGGGGTGATGGGAGGGAAGGAGGGAGGGGGGGAAGGAGATGTGGGGATGGGAGGGAAGAGGAATCCACTCGTAGGCTTCTTTCCGCCAAGTGCAAAAGTGACCCATGAGTACAGCGCCAGTTTCTTCCACTTCTCTCTTCCCTGTGGGAAGAGCCCCATCCTGACCCAGTTAGGCTCTCCCTGTGGGAATGGAGGGCATTTGCAATGCGACAATGCAACAGAGCTGCCTAAAATCCATAATCATTCTATTGGGAACACAGAAGGACTGCAGACTCAGCCAAAGCAGCACATCTGGGAAACCACATACACTTGTTTCCAGACTATCACTTGGTTGAGATACAATGAGAAATTCAGAGCTTTGTACAGAGGTGGGGTAAGAAAGGGTTTATGTGAACTCTTCCATTACCCAAATACTGCATTACAAGAAGCGATCAGCTACACACCGCCATTGTGAAAAATAATGATATTTTCTTTTGTTAATACAGGTGGATTTCGTTTTACCAGGACACAAGAGCTCATTGATAAAGTGTGCTTATTTTTATTTTTGAAAGTAAGGGGCAGTGGAGAAAGAAAGGAAGAAGAAACAAGAACAAGTTAGATTGTCAGGTTCAGAAATACAGTAAGGCTATTTTACATGCAGAATTTTAAGAGTCAAAAACCTTTAAGAGTTATTACAGACCGGATACATGAGGAGCGAATGGAGCGCTTCTCAGATGTCTGGGCTTCTGCATCAGCTGCAATAGAGCTTCCACTGGGACTGAGACAGGATTTTGTTATTGGAGGGTTGGAGTAGAGCCTGGAACAATGAGGTCCACCACATTCAGGAGATGGTGTGAATTACTTGGCAAATCGCCCAAGGTCACAACAATTTGTGACAACTGCAGCAAGTCACACATCACAGAGACAGAGACGATATAAAGAATTATATCAAGAAAAATATCAGTTCATTGTACGACCCATCCGATATGCAGTCTGTAAGAAGTCTTGCTTCAACGCACCAAAAGGCTGTGTTTGGGGCCATCCACTCTCTCGAGCTTCTCAAAGTGTTTCCGGGCATTGCGGATATTGATAAGTGTAGCAGCAGAAGCTGGAAGCAAAATAAAACACGGGAATTTCAATCATTGACAAAATAAATATGGTGAATATCGCTCACGCATCATTGATTCAACAACAACTTGTATTTATAATGCCCTTCACGCGGGGCAGGGTCTCAGAGCTCTTAACAATTACAAGAGCAAAGCCACTCCCAGTGTTTTTAACACAACAAACACTGAACACATCTTGATATTTACCACTTGGATACAATAAGAACAGAAAAGTTTTTAAGAACTGAAGTACTTACGTATGGAGGGATCTGACATTATAACCATCACGTATGTGTTAGATGTGAAGACGTCAATGAACGCTGCAAAATTGGAGTTTCGAACCTCCATGCTTTGGAAAGATGCAGCCAGTTTACTGTCAACAGAACACTGAGGTTAGACTTTAGGTTAAGGCTCCTCTCATTGGCCTCCGATTCCACCCTCACAAATTGTCAACTCATTCAGAGCTCAGTGGGCTGAGTCCTGTCCAGCGATCTCATCACTGCCAATCTCAACTGGTTACTGATCATGTAATAGTAATCGTTGCATTTGACACAGCGCCTTTCCACGTCATTGGGACGTCTCAAAGCGCTTTGCAGAATATACTGTAAAGTGTATTGACTGTATTTCGTGGGCAAAAGGCGCCAGCCAAGGGCGCACAGCAATGTCCCACGCACAGTCGTGGATTGAAGTGACCAAATCATTATTATTATTTGCAGATCCTTTTGAAAATCCTCCTCTTTATTGTCACATTCCCCCTCTTTATGACATACATTTAACCCTCCCCAGCTGTTTGTACTGGCCTGCACACCTCTCCACTCTTTTGACTGTAACCAAAACTGTACCTGCCCGGGGGATGTTGCTGCAGATGCTGGTTTCAAGAAGCATTTCATTCCCAGGACTGACATCTCTGATCTTGAAGAGGATAGAAATGTGTCTCCCACTCACCCCTCTCTTCCCCTACTCACCACAAAAATTCAAGGCTTACCTGCAGCTGAGCTTAAATTGTTTGATAATATTGCTGATTTTTTCAAATCTGTGGGCATCCCTCTGTTCTTTACACTGATAGTGAGAGATCACCTGAAAACAGTTTAGTGCAAGCAAAGTGTGATTTAACGTAAAATATATAATGTATTGCCTTACTAGAATAGAATCTGGATTCATTTAAATTCCAACTCCATCTGCCTTCACAATCAGCCAAGAAAAAATGAGTAATGATGTTCCTTGCATGTAGTTATTACATCATCACAAACACCTCACATTTAGTAAGCAAATGCTGCAGCTAATTTCCAAAAAGCCATGTCCCACAAACAGGCAGCAGGTGAATGACCAATTTTTTTCATCTGGAGCATTGTTGGCGAGGACACCCGGAGAAACTCCCTTTTCTTTTCAAATAGTGTCGTGGGACCTTTGATGTCCACGGCAACAGGCGGTTGGGGTCTCGCTTTATCGTTTCATCCAAAAGATTAAGCACAGTGATGGGTTTCCACATGTGTCAAGACACCCGGCTGACCAAAACAAATAAAACCCAAAAGGCAGCACTTCTGACAATGCAGCATTCCCCCAGTTCTGCACTGAAATGACAGCCTAGACTGTGATCTTAAAGTTCTGGTGTGGAACTTGAGATCACAGCTTTCTGACTTGGAGGCCAGGCTGACAAGTGGAAATACAGCATGAAGAAACTGTATGTATGATGCTTTAGCTGAACAGAATGAATCAATAGGAAAACAAGTTACACTTACCAAGAATGTGGCCCTTTCGAACAACAACACCTCATCAGCTTCGATAATCTGAGCAAAGTTCCTCAGGTTTGTCTCCAGTTGCTGCACATTAGGAATCAGCTGGTACACAATGCTCGACCAAGCCTAGGGGAAAGAGAACACTTTAACAGATTGGAATTTTACCTCATTAGCCATGATGGGGGGTGGGAGAGAGGTATTCTGTCCCACCGTTCAATAAAGAGATTTTTTTAAATAATGTACAGAACTCTAATCAGGGCAAGGACACGCTGGGGAAGCACCAACTCACAACCTCACAGAGTTGTGACAGAAAACAAATCTTTGCTCAGAATCCACCAAGTTGTTGAGTTCACATATTGAACCCTGTTGCTGTACGAAAGTAGCAAGTGGACGTGAGACAAAGGGGCAGAAAGAATGAAAGCGTTAAGACTGAGCAGTACGAATGTGGGAGTGGAGGGGTTTATGAAAGAGAGCTTCATGAGGAATACAAATACAGAACTGGAGTTCTCGTGTCAATGTCCTGTAAATAGTTCCTCCCACGGTAACAGCGGCCTTACTTTGTATAATGTCTCATCCCAGATGGAGGTTCGAAAGCAGGTACATTCTAGGGGACGTGACAGGCGTCTCAAGTCATCTTCTCGCTCCTTAAAAATCTAAAATAAAACCAGAGGATCAAAGTAAATGTCACCGTCTTTGACAAGCTTGTGCTAATGCCTGGATTGCGAAATCAGTTGCCCATGGTGTAAATTGGACCTGTATCTACGAGGATTAACAATGCTGATCATCTGAATGAAGGCATTATCAATCTGAAAGATCAATTCATACAGCCCAACCAGAACACACTGCTAGATGTTCTTTTGGTAGTTTTTTTTTAATATTCATCAAGGTAACAACTTCATTACTTCTCCCACTCTTTTAGCATCCTGCAGGTCTGGTTTGCCAACAAAATAAATGTTTCTTAATTGAATATTTCTTGATTTCTGGTATAATCTATGACTATTTTGTTGGGCAACCAAAAAGCTTAGCTACCAGTTAGATGATCTGCAGAATAAAGTTCCCTCAGCATTAAGCAATACCAGGTTAGATACATGTCTATACCTGTAATAATATGGTAGCGATATGGTACGAGTGGAACCTCATCCTCACAAGTGAGTAACTCCTTACTGTACGAGCTTTCTGTTCTTCCATTTCCAAAATCAGTCACCTGTGAATGAGGCTCCAGTCGTACTCAGTGAGATAATACTAAACTAAGTAAGATGGTCAGCGCCCTTCCACTTACTAGGTCACGCTGATCCTCCTGAACCAGATCCATCTTGTGAACAAGGCAGAAGATTTTGGCATCAGGAGAGTTCTGAAGAATTGCCTCTAGGCATGACTGGTAGTAGTGCATATCCTTCTCCAGTTCACGGCTTTCCACGTCAAATACGTAAATAAGCACCTCCACATTGCGGAAAATGTTGTCCCTCTGACTGGTAAAGTAGTTCTCCATGAAGGTATCTTGACTGAGATTAAAATCAAAAACAATAATCGGGTTGTCCATTACATAGATCCACATTAAGTAGAGAATACATAGCCAGGAGGGATTACAAGTAAGATTAGCAAAAGGTCTATACTACAATTGACGGCTTATGAATTACTAGTTCCCCATTACAGGATTATTTCTGTGAGGAATTCCATACTATGTTTCCAGTACTCACCACCAGAAAAGCACATTAGCAGTCAGTATGGACTTCATTACATAGCTCAATGGAGATTCCTATTAACACCCCCCATTATTGCTGAAGGATATAATTCAAATAATTACTGTCATCTCTCTGGTATCCATTATTCTGTATGTAAACTTTTTGATCCCCTCAATCAGCATCACAGTAAAATAGGATTCTGTATATGCCGCCTCTTTTACTTTGTAGGCACTTGGGAGAAGTGGGAAAGAGGGCAGGGGTGGGGAGAATTACTTTGTGCTACGTGGGCAAACACATGTTGGTTTCCACTTATTTGGTATTTATTTCAGTTAAGGGAAAAATGGTCTTGGGAATTTCCTATCAAAACCACAGGAAAATGAAATAGGGCAAGAGGAGCAGCCAAAATAAGCTGAAATGTTTTCCGAATGTCTTAGCATTGATTGATTGAGTTATGAAACACTTACCCACCACAGTCCCACAGATTTAAAACCAGATTCCCGAGGAATCGGACATGCGAGTGTTCCACATCGACTGTGGAGAGAATGAAAGAGGTTTTAGACTTCACATCACTGTAACGTCAGCGTTATGCAAAAACGCAGAGCTGCTTCAAAGGGTTGCACAGTAGCCTTGGATAGAAGCTGTTCTTCACAGACAACTTCCTCAATTCATTTCACAAGTTTACTTGCAATAGAAAGCAGACCACCATAAATCCCAACAATAACAGCTTGCACTTAATAGCGCCCTCCACGCCGGGTAGCATCTCAGAGGCTGAAGAGTGGCGGAGCCTGACTGCGATGGGGAGTGCGGAGGGTGAAGGTGACCATAAGCAAGATCGAAAATAAAGGTTTTCAGGGGGGACTTGAAAATGGGGAGAGAGGGGGCAAGGCAGAGGGATTGATGGAGAGTATTTCAGAGATTCGGCGAGTAGTGGCTGATCCCCTCAATCAGCATCACAGTAAAATAGGATTCTGCCTATGCCGCATAGTAGCTGAACGCGCAACATGAAGGGAGTGAAGGAATTTGAACACAAGTGTGAGGGTCTTGGAAGTCGATCCGTTCGATGATGGGGAGCCAGGCCTGAACTGATGAATGAGTGCAGTTTGGTCCAGGTAGATTTGCGGGCGGCAGTGTTCCGAATGAACTGGATTTTTTGAATAGTGGAGCTGGGGAGACTGGCGAGGAGTGCGTTTGAGTAATCCAGGTGGGAGATGATAAAAGCACGCACAAAGGCTTCGGCTGCATTTGAGGTAAGGTACGGTGGGAGGCGGGCAATGTGGCGGAGGTGGAGGAAGGTGGTCCTGGTCAGGGGCCGGATGTGGGGAAGGAAGGACAGCTGGGGGTCAAACCGGACACCTAGGGCGCGCACTGGTTTGGTGAGTTTGAGGGAGAGCCCAGGGAGGTTGCGGAGTTCAAACGCTGAGAATTTTGAGGGAGAGAGAGGGGAGGGACAGTAGGGAATGAGGTGCTCAAAGGAGGAGAAACAGCCAGAGGAATAGGGGGAGAGGCCAAGGGAAGCTTGGGAGATGAGAACCACCCTGCCACCACGTTGGTTGGGGCATGAGGTGTGGTGAAAAGTGTAGCATGGAGTGGAGGCTTCAACGAGGGGGCTGGGGTCACCGGGGGAGAGCTAAGTTTCCGTCAGCCCAAACAGGAAATATCTAAAAAGCTTATAAATCCGTACAAAAGTCATTTTCAAGTCAAGCACTGAATTACTTTTATAAACCAGGAGGACAATAATTTGCATTTATATAGCACCTTTCATGCAGAGTTGCGTCTCAGAGCACTGAACAATGGCATAGTTTAACACCTAGACAGGGAGAGAGAAGAGATGACCAAAGGCATGGTTAAAGAGGAAAGTCTTCAGGTGCGATCTGAAGATGGACAAAGAGGGGGCAAAGCACAGGGATTAAGGCAGGGAATTCCAGAGGTTCAGGACATAGTGGCCTGTAGTATGTACTTGTCAAAATGATGTAGTGAAAGTAATGCGATTAGAGTATTTTCTTTTATGATTTTTTTTCTATGTCACCCTCAGTGGTTGGATTTGATTTGGATACTTACTTGTGGCTCCAAGGCGCCGTGTGTCTCTGGCTATGTAGTTTGCAAAGATAATGGATCTCATGCTGGTCTTGCCAGACCCACTCTTTCCCATCAACAGCACCTAGTGAAAGAATATTAACAGCAATGTATGAATCATGGTATCAGTTTAACATGACATTCAAGGGCAGAAGAGTTTAGCAACCATTCTGGTCTCCCAGTACATCAAAGCATCACCCAGAGCCAAAGAGCATTTGGAAAGCAAAACATTGAAACGAGATGCAGATAAAGTTTTATAATAATAATCCTTGCATTTGATATAGTGTTTTCACATCTTCTCGACGTCTCAAAGCGCTTCACAGAATAGACTGTAAAGTGAATTGACCGTATATTTGTGGGCGAAACGCGGCAGCCAATTGCACACAGCAGTGTACCACAAACAGTCGTGGATTGAAAATTGACTAATTTATTATTGTTTTGTTTTGGAGGGATTATTATTAGGCTCTGTGTGGAGTAAGGAAACTTGCCCAAGGTTTCGCCCTGCCGGGAATTGAGCCCAGGTGTCTCGCTTGCCAGGTGAGTGCTCTATCCACTGAGCTACAGGTCTCCACTTGTTTTAACTGGTCGAGGGCACAGACTTGTCCATGTAAGATCTACAGAAGGAAGGATTGAAGCAACTTTGCCTATTTAAAGTTAAGGCATCTTACAGGAAAGTATAATTTCCATGTCTTGAGGGTGCATTGCATCATCTTGCAGCTTTACTTTAACAGAAATTAAAAATATGGCACGCAAAGAGTTTTCAAAGTATCCACTGGTGTGAGGCAATTACTGTAGTTAGGGAATGAGAATCTTGAGCAGTTCTTCAAATGATAATAATAATAATAATCCTTGCGTTTGATATAGTGGCTTATCACTTCTTCAAGGCGTCTCAAAGCGCTTCACAGAATATACAGTAAAGTGAATTGTGGGCAAATTATCTGTCAGGCAGGAAGAATCCTTGGTTTGGAGCAGTTTTAATCCTGGCTCCCGATGGCATCATTTCATCATGTTTTGTGGGCGAAACACGACAGCCAATTGAGCACAGCAGTGACCCACCAACAGTTGTGGATTGAGTGACCAAATTATCATTTGCTTTATTTATTTTTTTAAGAGATTATTACCTCCAGTAAAGCGAGCTGCCAATTGACTAACAACTTGGTTCCTCTTGATAAACAGAGGCGTGTGGAGTAGGAAATTTGCCTGATTTGCCCCACCCGGGAATCAAACCCGGATCCTCTCATTTGCGAGGCGAGCGCTCTAACCAAATTGCTATATGATAAATCTCTGACAGCTAAATATTGGCCGGTGCATTAATAGAGGAAAATATGATCTGAATGAGAGAAGTCTTGCTATAGTCCCAGTCATCAGCATACAAGCATGATAGAATATGTTATTCAGAATAACCTACTTCCAAATAGACATGTCACTTCTGTGCAACTCCTTGCACAAAGTGAAGTTAGTGGTGCTCTCTGCCCAGTGTGTGTTCAGTGTGCAGAGAATGATATCAGCAGTGCTTCCCGCATATGTGCTGAGTGCAAGAAGCAATGTCAGTGACAACCTGACAATCCAGAAGTCAGTCATTGTTTAGTGTTAGAAGTCGACTGGTTGGCACTGGAACCTGGATATAATGTGCTTCCCATCAGCACAGCTCCAGCAGACCCGTGCTATACGCAAGACAGCACTCTATCAAAGGGTGATATAATGGGGTTCCACTGTCACTGCATCAAGACTCTTCAAGACTATTTACAGCTCATCCAATGGCTTCAGTAAGTAAAACCACTACCAAGTGTAATACAAATAGATACTAGAGGGTCATACAATTCTCCAGGAGCCTCATGGATTTCCAGGGACGTCACAGGATCACAAGATCAGTTTGGATGAAGCCCAATTCATCTCATCCTTCCAGAATACCCTCTATCTTCCAACATCGTATTAAGCCGTTTTTAAATTAATCCAGTGTCCTGGCTTCAACCCTTCCTGTTCCAGTTGTTAATTCCCCTCTGAGTAAAGACATACTTCCTGATACCTGTCCTGAATTTGCCCTTTACAACTCTAAACTTATGTCCTTTTGTTCTACTGTTCTTGTGCATTCAACAATTATGTTCTGGGTTTACCTTTTCAATCCCAGTTAAAATGTTGTATATGTCCCTACAAGGTCCTTTTTGAGTCATCTCCTTTAAAGACTGAAGCGTCCTAGCTTGTCTAACCATTACTCACAGGCTTAGCTGTTTCCTCCTACAAGGGATTATTCTTGTCATTCTCCTCTGCACTGCCTCTAGGGCCTGGGCAGTCCCCTTATAGATTACAAATTACATTTATATAACGCTTTTCAGTGGTTAGAGCACTGCCGCGCAAGCGACAGACCTGGGTTCGATTCCCGGGCAGGGTGAAACGTTGGGCAAGTTTCTTTAATCCACATGCCTCTTTTGCCTAGCAGTAAGTAGGAACCCGGTTGTTAGTCGATTGGCGGATTGCTCTTCTGGGGGAAATACAACAACAACAACAACAACAAGATTCCATTTATAGAGCGCCTTTCACGTTGGGAGGACGTCCCAAGGCGCTAAAATAATTCCTTTAAATAAATAATAATAATAAATTGGTCACTTCAATCCATGTTTGTGGGACACTGCTGCCACCCACAAAATATACAGTCAATTCACTTTACAGTATATTCCGTGAAGCGCTTTGAGACGTCTCAAACCCCTGCTATCCTTCAAGCCCCACATTCGTGCCATGACTCGGTCCGCCTTTCCACACCTCTGCAACATTGCTCGCCTCCGCCACTGCCTCTCATCGCAGGCCACCGAGACCCTGATCCACGCTTTCACTACATCCCGGCTTGACAACAGCAACTGCCTGCTCACTGGACTTCCCAACCCTTCCCTCCACAAACTGCAGATAATTCAGAATTCTGCAGCTTGTGTCCTCCCCCACACCAGGCTCCGGGAACCTATCACCTCCGTTCTTGCTCCACTTCACGGGCTCCCCATTCCTGATAGAATCGAGTATAAAACCTTCATTCAAGGCCCTCTACAGTCTTTCCCACCACTTTATCTCTCCGACCTCATAACACCCTATTAGCCTGTCTGCTTTCTCCGCTCGGCAGACACCAGCCTGCTTCAGGTCCGCCACACTTTCTGCCCCACCATTGGTGGTCGGGTATTCAGCATTTCTGCTCCCACACTCTGGAACTGTATCTCGCAATCCCTCCGCCTCACCTCCCTCCTCCCCTTCTGACCCCAACTCCCAGCTCAGGTCCAAAACCCCTGATTGTCCAGCACCCTGGGACATCTTTCCGACATGAGGGGTGCTATATTTAAGCGCTCTGAGACGCTACCCTGGGCGGAGGGCGCTATATAAGTGCAAGTTGCTGTATACAAGTGTCAATTGTTGTTGTTTCAAAGCCATGTTAAAGCATTCTATCAAATGCAAGGATTATTATTAGTAGTAGTAGTATTATTATTATACATGTAAAGAATGGTCATTTACACACAATATCTGAGTGAACTAGTCTGAAATGCTCTCCCTGAAAGGGTGGTGGAAGCAGATTCAATAATAACTTTCAAAAGGGAATTGGATATTTACTTGAAAAGAAAATGTTTGCAAGGCTATGGGGAAAGAGCAGGGGGAGTGGGACCAATTGGATAGCTCTTTCAAAGCTGTTCTGTAGGATTCTATGAAACACTCTACAGATATACCTGCCTGGATTTAAACAATCAGTTCAAAGTCTCCTTCTCTCTTCCCCCTTCTTTCCAATCACACAAAAAGCTAGTGATTATGGAGACTAATACTAAAACTAGAACAAAGAATGAAAAATCTGCACCCACAATTTCCCTTACTTTTATTTTTAGCCATATAATGAATGTGGCTTCAGTTGCTGCTTTGTCATGAGACTGGAATACGTACAACTGTCACAAGATCAACCACATGGCCAAACAACATAAAGCTGCTGCTGTTGTTGCTGGTACTGCAACTATAAAAATATAAAAAAATAATCCCAGCTCACATCAGTACTGAACCTAAGGAAAAATTCCATTTCACTCATTCGGATTCAGCTTCCTCCGCCTGCCTTTATCCCTCTCATTCTTCCTTTACTCCTTAGGCTAGTCCTAGCTGGACAAGCAGCAGGAAGCTTGTCAGACAGTATTCTCAATCATAAATCTTGTGGTTTTTAGCAGGTTAAACTCCGGCAGTTATCCCAACGCACTCTCTGGGGACCCCAAACATTGGCTCTTGCCAGCTTGTGCCATATACGCTCTAGAATTGGGAAAAGCAATAATAAATTGGTCACTTCAATCCATGACTGTGGCACTGCTGTGTGCAATTGGCTGCTGCATTTACCCCACAAATATACGGTCAATTCACTTTACAAGTATATTCTGTGAAGCGATTTGGAACGTCAGGAAGATGTAAAAAGCCCTATATCAAATGCAAAGATTATTATTATTGTTAATTAGGTAAGCAGGATGTATCCCTCCTGGGGCAAGCGCAGATTCTATTTCAGACACAGACATTCCCATATACAGGTGACAATATATCTCAGTTTGGCTTGGATACTCTTTAATACGGTAATAGGCTTCCATTTATGTCAGACACCTGCTGACCCCCAAAAATTGGTTATATGTTATCTTCTTTTAACTTTGTCCTTTCCCTCTCTGCCACTTGCGTCCACTTTAAAGAATGAATCTTCCCCACAGCTTCCTTAACACTGCACCATAACTCAGTCAGGAATTATTCCCTTTTCACTTTTATTTTTTGGATTTTAATCATTTTACAATTAGATGAGCACATCCATTGCAAGTGGGAGATGAAGCTTGAAACAATTGAGTGATTTTACTAGGTAGAACTTATGAGGTAATAACACTTATGAGGAACACGGTAATGGGAGAAGGACAGTCTTTCTCGGTCTTCCTACCAGTGTATTATATCATCTTTTAATCCTGCATCTTCACATCCCTCACTATATATGTGTCCCCCTTTTACACATCCACATCGATTGCACATTTTAATAATAAATAATAATACTCCTTGCTTTTGATATAATAATCCTTACATTTGATATAGCGCCTTATCACGTCTTCTAGA